TGCCCAGTCTATAGGTAGAAGCAGCTGAATTCAGGTGTTCATACTCAATTCATGTCTGTGTTGTTACACATTCCAGTTTTAACGTTTCCGGAGAAGTTTGAAATTCTAATATTGTGTGTTAAAATGACCTGATTTTTAAAAGTTGAAAAATTAAATCAGTATCTTTATGGATTTATAAGCACTTATAAGTCAATATTCATAATATTAAAAATATAATAATCTTTATAATACTATCATAAGCACTATATAGCACTTACAAGTCAATATTTATAAGGCCTATTCTGAAGCTTATTTCTTTCAGTCCAATTCATTAAGTGTATGCTGAAATGTGCAGTAATGTGTTTTTGCTTTGTTTTTGCAGAACTGGGAATTGAACTCAGGACTTTGCGCTTGCCAGGCAAGTACTTTTTTTATTGAGCTATCTCTCCAGCCCCACTTGTTTTTATATAGAACTGAATGTACACATACATTCAGAATTCCAAGCAAGGCTACATACTTCTTTTCAAAACCCTATGTTACTTTGCATGTTATCATTACCAATTATCATAATGTTTGAAAATTACTTTGTATGAGTCAATTCCACAAAAAAACTGGCAACACTTACTCAACTTCATATTCTAGAACAAGAGCTGTATTAAAATTATACATCAAAGGTTCAATAAATAAATATAAAATGAAATTTAAAATAGCTAATGAGTTTAACTAAAGCAAAAAATAATTCAAGGCTATTATGGCAGTCTGAAAGCAGTATGATGGTCTTGTTTACACTTTTATTTTTAGAATAATTTCCAAATGTAACTTCGGTGTGCAAAGGACAGTTGAAGGCCATTTGCATGTATCATTTTAGATTGTGCAGGGCCAGCCAAACAGCTCAGCAGATTAAAAGCATCTGCAAACAGGCGCAGGGGCCAGGGTTTGATTCCCAGGTCTGCTGTCCTGGCCCCGCCCCCATGGGCACCCTGAGGCAGCAATTGAGACTTGGCGTGGTAGCACATGTCTATAATCCCAGCTCTTGGGAGGCTGTAAACAGGCTGATCACTATGAGTCTCAACTAGTAGTGAGACCCTGAACACCCTGTAGACCCTTCCCTAAAATAGAAAAAGAAAAAAAAAAAGATTGTGCAAATAATAGCTTAGAGCAAGTGTGGAGGCATAACAATACCCAATCTCAAATTATACTATAAAACCATAGTAACAAGATATCTCAAAAAAATAGAAAGGTAGACTAGGTGAATGGAATAGAGGACACAGACACAGACACAAACCCAAACAACTATACCACAAAATATATGTTGGAGAAAAGACAAGCTCTTTAACAAATGCTTTGAGAAACTAGATATCCACTTGTGTAAGACTAAAACTAGATTCTTATTTCACACCCTATATAAAAATCAATTCAAAACTAATCCAAGACCTAGGGAGAAGACCTGAGACTTTGAAACTCCTAAAAGAATATTAGGGGAAATACTGGAGGCCATAGGTTCAGGAAAAAACTTCCTAAATGAGACTCTACATAGCACAGAAAATAGTAAGAATCAACACATGGGACTACATCAAAATTAAAAAGTACCTAGACAGCAAGGAAAACAATTAAGAGTGAAAAGACACTCTACAAAGGTAGAAAAAAATTCCTTGACAACTATTCAACAGAAGATTAATACATAGTACATGCACAGAACTCAAGTACTTAATACAAAAAAAGTCAAGTAGCCCAATGAATAAATAGGCTAATAAATCACACAGACATTTCTCATAATAAGAAGTAAAAATGACCAGTAAGTATATGAAAAAACATTCAAATGCTTTAGCCATTAAAGAAATGCAATCAAAACTGTAATGAGATTCCATTACACCCCAGTCAGAATGGCTACTCCCAAGAATATAAAAAAACGAAGTCTGGCAAGGACATAGGATAAAATGAACCCTTCGATACTGCTAGTGAAATGTAAATAAGTACAGGTACAATGAAAATCAGTATGGGGGTTCCTCAAAAAAATGAGAGCGATCATTTAATCTAGCCTGTCTATGTGTAATTTATTCTAAACTGATAAGATAATGTGGTATATATTGTAGTATTATTCACTCATAAAGAACCAGATTCTGTGACATGGAAAAAATGGATATATAGGGAGCTCACATTGAATGAAATAAGCCAGACTGAGAATAACAAGTATCTCATGTTCATAGTAAGAAAGCAGAAGGGAGACTATGATTAGTCAAGAGGAAGGGAATAAAGAGGGGGAGAGGACAGGTAAAAGGGTGGATGGATATGCTCAAAATATATTTTTTATACATTGAGCTCTCCCCGCAAGAAATGAAACTAGGGGAAAGGTGGGGAAAGGAAGGCAAACAGTGTGTGGAAATGATCAAAGTATGCTATCTATGAGTCCACAAAAATGAAATCCATTAATCTGTATATCAATATATGCTAAGAAAATAGGTGTTTTTAAAAAGCGATTGTTTCCTTGCAATTTTTTTTTTTTTTTAAAGATGTATTTGGTACAGGGTCTCCCTATGCAGCTCGAACTGATAGTGATCCTCCTGTTTTCAGCCTCCTCAGCGCTGGTATTACAGGCATGCGCCACCAAGCCTGGACTCATCAGGCCCAGGGGTGGGGCTGGTGCAGCAAGTGGTGCTGGGGATCAAACCCAGTCCTAAGCTTGCCTAAGCACACGATTAATTTGCTGAGCTATCTCACTGGCACTTGCTTGCAAAATTTCTAAGATTTTTAGACCGTGATTGACCACAAGTATGTAAAACTCAGAAAGTGAAACACACATACAGGAAGGTAACTGGACAAGAATGACTGAGTACATACTTAAAAAGGGAAAAACTCAAAGAGTCTATTCGAACAATCTCTAAAATACACTATGAAATCTACATAATGTATAATTTCATAGTAGCACATAGAAATCATCTGTATAGGATGCAAAATAAATAGGTTCCCATTGGTAGACAAATTTAGTATATGATAAAGGAGGTAACAAAAATGACTACAGAAAATACAGACTTTTTAATAAACAGTGATATTAAAACAGAGTAACCAATTGGAAATACGATAAAATGAGATCCATTTAATACAAATAATAGGAATAAATTATACATACATTAGGGATCTAAATATTAGATAAGAAAATGTTAAAATGAAATTATGTAAATACTAGAAGACAACAGGTGAATTTCTCTTTAAATTCAATATGTAAAAATGTTGTCCTAGTATTCAAACTTTTGGCTACATTAAAAATAATTGCAGGGCCAGCCAGATAGCTCAGTGGACTAAACTGCCTGCTTAGGCAGAGCACAGAGACCAGGGTATTGATCCCTGGAACCTCATGTCTTGCCGGCCCCACCCCTGGGGAGTACTGAGATGGCTATTGAGACTGGTGCAGATCCGTAATCCTAGTGCTTGGGAGGCTGAAAACAGGAGGATCACTACGAGTCCAATCTGTGTAGTGAGTCCCTGTAGACCCTGTACTAAATACATTTAAAAAAAGAAAAGAAAAGAAAAAAAAAAAAAAAAAACCTTGCAAACCTAACAAATTTCTAAAACAAAGTTAAAAGGTAATTTTTACAATTGATAAATGATATATTTGTACCAAATACCAGAGACCAATGATCCTCAAATACATGGGATAGATCAAAACCCAATAGAAAAATGGGAAAGGGCTATGAAACAATTGTAATGAATGGCCAATGTTGGAATATACCAAGAAATGAAAATAATGATGGTATTGGATAATAACACTAAAAATTAAATATCATAGGTCCATATCATTATGCATAGAAAATTTGTAAGTGGCAATAAAAGACAAGTTTTCCTTTTAAAAGATTTAAAATTCATAAATATAGAAGGAAAGAAGAAAACAGAAAGTCACCATAAGGATATACCATAGTAATAACTGTCAGGTATATAATCCACTGATTGAGAAAATTAATAGGCAAAAACGTTCAGAGAAATGTTATAGAATACCTCCACTAATATATGTATGAACCATGAAATTAAAAAAAAAGTTACTTGGGCTGGGGATACAGTTCGGTGTTAGTACCTACCTCATGCGCAAGGTGCTGTATTCAACCCTTAGCACCAGAACAAATAAAAAGATGTCACTTTACAGGAGAGAAACTCAGCATGTACCACTTTAAATAAGTTCTTAAGGTTAGTAACATAAATATGGCATATCAATATGAACCTTGGATGCAATGCACCGAGAAGGAATTGTCACTTTTGGGGTAATCTTCCTAAAATGTGTAATGTCACATTTTTGTGATAAGGAAACATCACACAATAAAAACAGAAAAACACTGTATGAAATAAATGTCCCATAATTTAAAAAAATGTTAAGATTAGAAATGAAAAGGAAATACTAAAGAACTGACATACAGGGGAAGAGACAACAAAGACTTGAAAACCAATTATAACATGGTTACCTGGATTGGGTCCTGGAAGAGCAACGGGGTATTAATAGGGAAACAGATACAATTCAAGTAAGGACAGTAAATAGTACTATACCATAGTATATATCCTGGTTTTGATAATTGTATTATGGTTATATAATATGTGAATATGAGAGGAAACTGATGGTTATCCGGAACTATGTATAACATTTCTGAAATTCTGTCTGTAAGGCCAAAGTTCTAAATGAAAACGAAATTCAAGTTCTAAAAAAGCTATAGTGACAGGGTGATAGAAAGTAGATACTGGCTACCAAGGGTTAGGGGTGGCAGAAGAGGCCTACTGGCACAGGGAATAGGGAACAGTTTTTGATAGTATAGAATGCCTACATCACGACTGTACTGGTAGTTATGTGACAATATCTCATTGTCAAAATTCATTAGGTTATGCACTTAAACCATAAATATTATTGTATATAAATTGCATCTCACAAACATATACAAAGAATTCCAGATGCAAATCAAATTGTTTCAAACATGTATTGGGTTGCAATCCCAATAAAAGCAGAAGGCACTGAAGAGATAACAAGTAAGATAATATGTTCTTACCAGATTAATTAATTGAGTATGTACTACATCTTCTACCAAAACTGCTGTTTCATGAAGAGGCCTCCTAGCATCACCTAAAGAATACCTGTAAAAGAAAGGGAAAAGTTTGGACACCGCTATATTAAGGACAATAATCTAAAGAAGGTAAAATGTGAAAACGCTTATTATTCAATCAATTTAAGAGCAGCTATGAATTGCTCTCTCAAAAAATGTCTCCTGTATCAGCTGTAATTTCCAAAGGTAAATGTGTTACCATATAATTATCTTGCATTAGTGTTTTTAAAGCATACATACTGTATCAAAATTGAAATTCCCAGTACTGACGGGAAAAAAAGTACCAACTTACTGAGTTAAATATTTAACTCCAAGATAAAACTACAGATTCAATTTACAACTCTAGCAAAAAAAATTATTTTTAAAAATGTTTCTTATATCTCAAACTTTCATGAAAAATCAAGACTTCTGCTAAAATTTTTATTACCATACATGTTGCTACAGTTTTATGAAATGCTCCCCTAAAGTCTCACATGTTCAAAAGTGGGACTTTGGGAAGGTGACTAGATTATATAGCACGATCCTAAATCAGCAGGTTAATGACCTGTTTACTTCATAGCTGAATGTGCTGTTAGGAGTTGAGACCCAGTCTGTAGAACGGGCAAGTTATTTGGGGTGTAATGGCGGGGATCAGATATGTTGCCCATTGGATATCAAATTACAGGAATTACAGAGCCTTTATTAATTAGCTGGCAACCACTATGCTTCCCCTTCCCATCTGGGAAAACACAAAAGGCCCAGATCTTTGTTCCCTACCTGCTTTTATAGTTCCTTTGCTGCTATGGCAACCAGGAAGGTGAAGGATCATGACAGGAATGTGATGCCTCTCTATCCTATAGGTATGAGGTCTTGGGCAGAAGGATTCATGTCTAAGCAAGGGCAAATAATCTGTCTCTTATTGTCTGCCCTTAATGGGTCCTAGCTCCCCCTTATCTCTTACATGTTTGAGAAGTTTTGACAGGACAGGGGAAGGAGTGAGGAATGGGGTAATTTAGGCAAGGCTACTTCTATGTGAATACTTCATGCAGAGGTCAAACTAAATTGAATTCTACCTCGCTCTTTCCTACTTCCAAAAGTGAATAGGGTATTATGCTAGATGCTATCCTTTACCGGGGTCATGACCTGGAAAGGTGCATTTTTTCCTCCACCTCACTCCTTCCTTCTCTCTCTGCTTTGAGACTGCCATGCATTGAGCAATATTCCTCTGCCAGCCCCTCTACCATACTTTTTCTGCCTTAAAAGTCAGCCAATTTTGGATTCAATCCACAATGACAGTAAGCAAAAATAAACTCATCCTCCTTTGCAGGTTTTAGTATGTTGTCCCAGCAACTAGAAAGTGACTAATACACACGTTAAAAAAAAATGAGCTAGACATTTAACCAGACATGTTATCAATGAGCATTTTATTTTCAGCATTACCAATTGTTTAACTTTTCTGTCATGATTTTTCTTTGGTCACTTATATTTAGCTTCCTAGCAAATACATGCACATGCAGAGCAAGCAAAATATTGTCTGGGTAGTGTTTGGAAAAATGAAACAAAAACCTCTGTACACAGTCACAGTGACTTCCTTTTTGCTCAGCAGTATTTGTATGCCAACTGAAGACAAAGTACATTGTAATAAAATTTGTAAAGCACTTACAGGGAAGTGGCTAATATACATAAAACTATTTTCCCCCCAAAGACCCTGCTTCACCACTGATTGATATGTGCCCTGGCTTGGCCTGGGTCTAGCACTCATTAGTGTTACTTAATGCCTCAGTGCTTCTAACACCACCAGTCTCCACTGAAGACCTCTCAGGAAGCTCCTGAAAGGCCTCCCCTCTCAGTCTCCTCAGGCGGGAACAGAGAGCTTCTGACTTAGAAAGGACTACACCTCAGACAGCTTTGACTATTAAGCATTAGGTCCTGAAACCATCCTGCAGAACTCTTTTAATAAAATGATTGGTAAAGACACATAAACCTACCCTACTTTCTTACCAAAGAGGATCAGTTTTATTCAATCCCAGAATAAATTGTCTATGTGAGGATTATGCAACCAATTGTATAATTTCCTTGTTAAGTGCACAGCAAATGCATTAAATAAAATCGTGCAGTTACATACCTTATTCTATACATTTATATTTATATGAAAATGTACCCTTTTTAAAACCACTGGGTAGTGTTTACAAAAGCTTGCAGAATTTATGAGCAACCCTTTTGATACTGTTGTGTAGTATGGTCATGTCCATTACAGCCCAAAATTGGGGGAAAGTCTATTTAAACAAGTACTAAAGAAAAGAAAGTATGATTAGAAAATAGGCAAATTAAACAAAAAAATGACCAGAGAGACATTTCCAAATTACAGAAAGCAGAATTTTAAAAATACACACTGAATATCTATACATGTGTTCTGAAAAAGCAGTAAAACCCCCTTTCATACTTCACCACCTTTTTAAAAAGGTTATTAAAACTTAAAAAACTAAAAGATATATGCTATCGCATTCTCTCTTGACATTTTATTTAACATCTTTGGTCAGTAATCTATGCTAAGAAGCTCTTCAAATAGGCCAATATTCACCTCTATAAATTCACCAGCACTATTTTACTTGCCAAAACTTTTGCAAACCTCTGCTTATGTAGAGACTTAAGTAGCTGATGATGTCTCCACAGAACCATTCTCCTCACATCCCCAACTATGAAGCACAGCCAAGACAAGCTCTTTTAATGGTATAAACTTCAAGGGGAAAAAAAAATGAGCACATGGATCATGTGTCCATTCTCACTTCTTTTTAAGTTATACAAATCTATTAGTTCAAAAGTATAGCATAGAATAAACATAAAAGACAAATATCAAAGGAGATAAAATAAAACAAGGAGTATTTTTAAATATTCTGTTTATGACATGAAGAAATATTTTTGTTCTCCCTAAAATACATTGTTAGAAGCACAAGCAACTATCTTAGTTTGCCTAGGACTTAAGGGTTTTTCCAAATTATTCTCTACCAAATAGGTCAGTCTTAATTAATACTAAGAGGTCATGACATACTTTCCATAAAAATCAAAACAAGCCAGGAAATAGTTTAAGAAAATGAATAAATAATACATAATATACACATTTACTTTCAAACAATTATTCTTTATTTTTCTAATCCCACTGTCCCAAAGCACAGGAATCCTGGAGGATGAGGAGCAGGTACCGTGCTGACTTTGCTTTGCAGTCACTGCTCCAAACTCAAGGAACAAAAGCAGCCAGACATGGAAACCAGCAAGAAGAGAAAATCTGTTAATAATTTGTGACAAGAGCCTATTAGAGTAGTCACCAAGAACATGAGGCCCACAAGCAGATCTGCTCTTGAAACATCTATGAACAAAATAGCAAAGAAAAAAAAAAGAGATGTTACTTTACTGCCATGTGTGCATCTTCTTGAATGCTCAGTTGTTTTCAGTACTCGTCACTGGCTACAAATGCTAATGTAGTTAAATTATTCTGGATGCTGTAAAGTAATTGCTGTGGTCTTGGGACGCAGTCAATTTGAGGGAGAGAGGGGCTTTGGGATTTCTGGACATTTTCCTATCCCACACAATTGACATTACTTAGGAATGAACCCTAGACAAAAGCCCTACGTAACTTTCTGTCCTCCAAAGAAACTTACTTGCTCTCTAAAGCACTTACTACCATATTTGATTATACATAGGGTAGCCATTACTACAATACCTAGGAATTTCTGCTGACTAGGAATCTACAGCCTAACATGTACCTAGTCAGCTCATCTCGCACCTGACTACACATGAAAACACAGACATCATGCTGTTTGTATCCTTCTCACCCAGTGTTTGTGAGACTAACTTACCCAGGGGCTGGGGAGAACAAAAGTTTGCTCATGATCAGTCACTTAAAAGAATGAAAAGTCGTAAACATATACCAATTATCCTCCCCACTCTTATATCTGTAACTACTACAACTCTGATTTTATCTACCTGCTTCTCAAAGGAACAAATTTGGTTAACAATGGCTTTGAGAAAAGCCAAAATCATAAATAAATAAGAATATCAAATATCTGAGACAACAGATTTCTTAGCAATGGCAACTTTCCTGTTAGCTTGATTCCTTAACTTTCATTTCTTCATTCCTCTTTTCACATTATATAAATTTATACATAATTAAACTTTGAGAATATTTGTAGAATTTTATCACAGTTTAGTAGTAAAAATATCTAAAGGTATAAAAAATTATAGAATCATTTATTATGTAAAACAAGATTGATGTGAAAAAAACACTCCATATTAATTCACCTGTTTAAAGTAAAATAGGCCTCCCCCACCCCGCCCGCCGAGT